TTCTTCTAATTTTTCGTCTCCTATCTTTATATTCGCTCTTTCCCTACTTTTTCTTCCCTTGCATATCAGTATTTTAGTTTTACTTTTATTTATTTTCATACAGTACTGATCTGTCAGTACCGCTTCCATTTTATTTAAAGCTATCCCTAGGTCCTCCTTGCTAGATGCTAATACTGCTATATCATCTGCAAATTTAAGCATACTAATCTTTTGCCCTTGCACATCTATCCCTACAGTTGTACATTAATGTTTGATAATTATTAGAATATTAACCACTTCTAAAAGTAAACACTTTCTTAAAGTATTAGAAATGGATACATGAGTTTCGATGACTCTGTCACCTAGTAGGTACGTTTCGTCGTTGCTGTCACCTGTCGTAATTTAGTAGCTACGGCATCGAGTTCTGTTCCCGGCGAGGGTGCGACAGCAGCAACAAATTTTTCCTCATTAACTTGAGGTAATCCGTAGTGGGAAGAAATTAAGTTAATTTCACATTAATGTTTCATAATCACTACAAAGTATAAGTCGCTTCCCGAAATCTGTCCCTATGTATGCTTAGATCTTTAAAACTACGCAACGGATTTTGATGCGGTTTTTTTTTAAAAGATAGAGTAATTGAAGAGGAAGGTTTATATGTATAATACATGCATAATATAGTAGAGAAACACTGATAATTTTAGAGGTTTCTAATGTGATGTCGTAAATAAACACATTTTTGCGCTTACATTTTTAATATCCATTATCCAATATCCAATATCCATTTTTTATCCTTTACTTTTTACGAGAAATAATGGCTTATTTACGAAGCAATTTTAAGCAATACAGCATTAATCCTTATCCAATTAAGTACTTTTAAATACATTGTCTATTTAATATAGATCAATATGGCTCTTTACAGCATGTAATTTATAATAGTTTAAATTGAAAAAGTTTTGATTGTTGTATATAAGTAATTCTATATTGGATTTACTATCAGCATTGCACCTGTGCGAAGCATAGTGTACAAATAATATCATTAAACCAATTCCTTAACCCCTATCCCGGTATGTTTGTGTGTTTGAAGAAGTTTCACTTCAGTAGTGTGTTGTATAATTACACGTTGTTTTTTTTAATATCAATAATAAGTTAAAAAAACGCCAAACATGGTCAAAGACTTTATTGAATTAGTTTTCGACCACTTTATCCTGTATAAAACTGGGGTGCCTCTATTCATAGCTGTGTGTTTAATCCAGTCAAAAATAAGTTATAAGTTTAGCTAAAAAACATTAATATTTGTATTTCTTTTTATAAAAAGCATTTACCTTAATTCGTTTATAAGCAGTCGAGAACCGAAAAACATC